AAGTATTACAAAGATTCCAGAGACCAAGACTAAGAACTGCATTTCCCTAATTCACTTTGTCATTCTGGGTTTTGGGACGGTTGAAAAGGGCCAAGAAGTCTTGGGAATAAACTGGCACCTCCCTTGGCCCACAGGAAACAAATAAACGTATTTTCATTTCAAACTTAACTATAGTTCACCTTCAACACCCTGTGAGATTTGGAACAGAAGAATGACTTTAGTGTTAAAAAACACGCACGCGAAGAACGTAAGTTTTTGAAATTCCTTTATCAGTTCACCCCAGGGAAAAAAAACCAACCAATTCTCAGTAAACTGGGGTTCATCCTTAGCTACAAACCAGAAAGCCTACACTTAGAGTTTGGGGTTGGACTGCACAGATGAGAAAATTAAAGGGAAAAACAATTACTTCACAAGGGGCAGAGAACAAATATCCTTGGGGTTCAGAAAAAAAGTTCCAAAAAGCAACATAAAAGATCCTTCCTCACTTTTCAAAAGTTCTTTAGAAACCAGCGATGAAGAAGGTGGAGCACAGATCTGCAGAGAAGACACAGAATCTGGAAAGTCTACCAAGTCACTAATCACATTTATCACCTTCTCATCAATTCCTGTTTCCCAGCTCCACCTGTATGAATGGGAACAGAGATCTGTGCTTATTTTGCTTCTGCTGAGAGAGAGAGAAGAGAAATTACAGTGCTCTGCCCAGACTGAAGGAGCCCATTCACCCATTACGTGGATGCAGTTGGACCAACCCTACAGCAGACAGCAACGCTGGCCCCGTTGGCCAACAAAAACCCTTGCAGAGCATGGATGATCTAGATTTGATGCTGAAAGATGGCCACACTTTGGGCTTCCTGTAACTCCTAAAAATCTCACAGATGGATTGAGGGCAGGCAGGTTCAAGCTGGCATAGCCATGAAGTTTTAAACCTGCCTAACAAGAGTAAGAAAAACAAACACGGGGAAAGATCTATCCGTGAAGAGCATCTCCAAGAAAGCTTTTTAATTTTTCTACTTGTTTTCAAGCTGAAAAACCTTCCTATTATCACTAGCTGTTCCACTAACTGCAGCAGCACCAGGGTACCAAACCAGACCTGAGGGCTCTGAGCAGCTATTCCTCTTTGAAACACAGCGCTCGACAATCCTGCTCTGAGCAAGTTTTAGACACCATGGTGGGGAAAAAACACTGCTGGTTGCTGGCACCTTGCCTAATGTAAGCATTCCTGCTGTTACCCTCAAAAACACAGAATTTTTTTTCAGTGACAAGTCCTGTACAGAGAACTAAAAACTTTCTCTCTGGGTTTCCCTGCGCTGGAAAAACTTCCCAAGAATCTGATTTTCCCAAATAGGAACTGAATTATAATTTTCGTCCAACTGCAGCACGGTTGCTTTCGTATTCTTGTTGCCTCAAACATTGTCTCAGAAAACCCACAGAAAGAGAAACCAAGTAAGATGAAAGACTCAATCCCAGGAAGAGAGGGCTGTGCATCTGCAGATAGCGTGGAGAAAGAAGAATAGGCATGACCTTTATGGAAGGGCACAGGAGAGATGAGCATCAGTCCTTGGAATTAGTGAATCACCCTGGGCTCACCAGTGTCCATCATCGTGATATCTGAATACTTGGGCAGAGGTCACTGATCAAAGCAGGCATGTTCAAGGAGACACAAAAAAAAAAAAAAAAGAAGACAGCAAAGTGCAGTAAAAATGCTAGAGTTTGCTGAAGGCCAGATTTAAACCTGACTGAACACACCTAAGCTTTGCTACCAGACAAAAAGGAAGGAATCCAGAATTCCTGTCTGAAAGCTGACACTTGAAACGTGCCGGGACCCAAAGGAAGGCATTACAAAATCCAGAATTACCCAAATCATTTAACTCTGATCCATTGTAACTGTCTGAGAATAGCTACTGCAAGAGGATCCTCCTCCTCCTTTTCACAGTGAGCTCAGGATTTCCAGAAGGAAGAAATATATGGTTCTCCCATGATTATCACCACAGACTTCTGTAGCCCATTCTCAATAAGTCACTTGCTGTATCTCCAACACTTGATCAAAGTTGCCAAGGCAAAGCGTGCATCTCTCAGAACATCTTCCTTTTACTGTTTAATTTGGATTTGTGGTCTTCAAAACTGTAGAAATCTTCTGAGGGCTTAAATCTACGCTTATGGCAAGTGCAGAGGAAGAAAAACCAAAAAAGGAAATCTTTGAGGTCATTGGACAGATTTGTAGCCAAGCGCTGAGGAACAAGGAAATAAGCCTTTTCCTGGGGAAAGGCTGAATTATTGAATGGCAAACTGCTTTGAATTGTAAGATAGATGTAAAAATGCTACACTCAACTACTTGGAGAAAAAAACCCTAACAGCCTGGAGCATCTCAGCCACCCAGCAGACTGGTGGGTGTCCCAGGACTGAAGTTATTTCCATCCAAGATAGATGTAAAAATGCTACGTTCAACTACTTGGAGAAAAAACCCTAACAGCCTGGAGCATCTCAGCCACCCAGCAGACTGGTGGGTGTCCCAGGACTGAAGTTATTTCCATCATTCAGCATCACAGCAACCTCAGAGATGAACACTGCCTGTCTGGTCGACCATGCATGCTTTAACCATACCAAAGGTAGCTTCTGGCCCACACCAACACAAATACCAGAAAATACAGACAAAGGTTGCAAGTGTCCACAGACCAGGATTTGGAAAAAGGAACCCCCAAACTTCGTTACTCTTGCTAGAGAGTAATTAATGGGAATCTGCAATCACTGCTACTTTTTCTGAGATGTTGTTCTTCTAAAGGGACAGGGAACTCAAGCACACTTGATGGCTTTCTCCTTCAGCTACTGCTGACAGACAAGTCTCACTGTCCTGTCGGTCATCTCCTCCCAACCTTGCTAAGGACCCAGGGGCCAGTGAGATTAGTTGTCTGCTGAAGGATGCCCAGAGTTCCCCTCACACCTGTCAAGAACGCTGTGCAGAAAGTCACAATTCTATTCGTGTGGCCAATCACTGTTTTTCACTGGGCTGTGCTTTCAAAGAGATGGTATAAAACAAAAGAAATTAACAACCACTGTGGCCCACCCAAGACACAACAACTGTCAGCCCCAAGTCGGAAGAGTGTCCATCTCAGAAGATGCTTAAGAAGAGGCAGGTCAAAGAAAGCTGATGGGCTAACATAGAGATAAAAGACACTAAAAGCAAGTGTTGGCACTCACTACCACTTCTAAGATGCTTGCCAGCCAGTTCTTGTCCTTCTGGAAACACATTTATCCCGTTTATATGAGAGGGGACAACTTTGTTGAGTTATCTCAAGAAGTATTTCAGACCAGCATCTTACGATACTGGAAGAAAAGGAGAAGAGCAAGAAAAAACAGAGAAGGACGAAGGAGCACTCACTCCCCACCCCAAGCAGAACAGGGATTTCAGGGGCAAGATGCACAAAACAGGTCAGAAGTTTGCACCTGCAGACCAGGACCACACAGGCTCCAGCTCCAGTGACTTGTGAAAATAATCTCCCCAGGAGAAAGAAAACATACACGTATTAACCACTTTTAGAAAGAGATTTTTTCAAAGGCTCTTGATACCCAGCTGGTCTTGATTTATATTGACTTCCACAAAATAATCTTGGACCAATGGTTAGCACTCTGAAAAATCCCCTCTATAACTTGCCATTGAAGTATGAAAATAAGTGGTGTAAAAAGGATTGTTAAGGAAAAAAAAAAGATGACAAATTAAAAATGAAAGGTTAAAATAAAATTTGGCTTCGGGCCATAAACTAGGGGGGAACTAACAGTAAAGATAGTTAAATGACTGGAAAGAGAACGCAACAGGAGCTATTATGAAAAAAAAAAAGCTGATAGCTTTTAAAAAAGGGATTTGTATAGATAGCGGGGAAAATAAATTCCGTATGTGATAGAAGCGCAATTGAGAAATTAAATAAATGGAAAATAAGGATGACTAAGTAGTAGTTAGCATGCCCCTGCTCAGTTGTATACTATTATCACATCTATTTTTAATGTGCTGTCAGCTGTCTGCAATTGTCATGCTTTTTTTCAGAACTTGTTCCAACGGTCTTTGATAATGAATTAGCTGTTTTTCACTCTCCAATGCTTACAACTGCATCTTTTTCTTACTCAACACTCCCCTTTTCCAACAATGTTATTCCATTGTCTCTGTTTTTCATCTCTCCTTATATGTTGACTCCCCAGTTTCTGAGCCTTCCAACTACCCTTGTTCATCTTTTTTTTTTTTTTTTTTTTCTGGAGCTCTTTTGGTTGAATCCTAGCATGTTTCTTTTCTTCTTTTCTAAAGATACAAGCATGTTTTTATATCATATCTGGCTACTGTACACATTGTTACCCCTTCAGAAGGGCATTGAACAGCTATAGCAAGCGTTCACATTGGAAAGAGTAAGCTAAACTAAGGGAAAAAAGAAGTTCTTTTTTGGCTTTTGCTTTCTGGTTCTTAAAAAAGAACCCAAACATTTAAACTCTCCCCTTTTCCTTTTTATCCTCAAATAACACAATCTTTCCATGAGCAGCTGAATATTTAAACAATAACAGGCATCAGAAGCGTTTGCGATTCTAGAGCTCAGGATGTGTCTAAGGAGAAGTGATAACACCAGATTTGATAATATTGGAAAAATACAAAAACTCTTAACATGATGTATGGGCTGTGAGTGAATCTGACTTTTTCTTTCTTTTTTTAACCTTACAAGTATGCCTGTTCCTTAACTTTACAGCCAACGATGCTCCATAGTAACTTGGGGACACTTTTTTATTTATTAAAAAAATAAATCAGTCCCAAACATGTTTCAAGAGAATCAAATTCACCATTGTGGGATGCCTCAGGCCATTGGGCTTCATCATTAAAAGATCACTCTTTAATTTCTCTACTTTAGTAGGATTCTCTTCACCTTCCGTACGCAACGCCAACGGTGACGTTGAGCTGTACCTAACGACGCTTTTTTTGGGATGTTATTTTTCAAAATTCAGAACTTCCACCACAGAGTAAGGCTTACCTTCAGCTGTGCCCGAAATACCATCAGCTTTGAAATTGCTCGTGCTTTTCTTCCTGCGGTGTTTCTTTCTGTTGGCGTGAGGTGAAGGAGGTGGATCGAGTTTGGGGCTCGTTGTACTGGATATACTGGGGCTTGAACACACAGAATCTCCTAATCCAGTATCTGCAGTTTCGGGGGGAGACAAAAAAAAAAAAAAAAAAAAAAAAAAACCCAACAAAACAAACAGAGGGAAAAATAAAAATACTGCATAACTTAAATGAATGATTGTTAGAATCCAAGATACAACCCATTGACTTCATGAGCTTATTGACTTCCAAAGGCTACAGGAGAGCTTCCTAATGATACCCATTCCTTTTTTCAAAAAGGTACAAACCCCCCAATTTGGCTGAAGTTCTGACTCAAGCCCTATTAAATCACCAGGACTTTGCATCAATTTTAAAAGCAGGTCAGTGTGAATGCACTCTGTTACTTCCGATTGCTGCTTCCTTGTAAGATCTTGCTGATCCTCAAATTAACTCATGTAATCCTAGGACATTTTAATATGTAATGGAACAGAGATATCCCAACATCCTCTGAATGCTGTCTGCTTTCCTTAATATTAAAGATATACAGAGAAAAGGTGGTGATGGCAATAAAGGTGGGAAAACAAGGTAACAGACTTATGTCTGGTACAATTAATATTGTGTGATAAAGGTTGACTTACTACCTGCAAATCCAATGTTTCATAGGTTTAGTTTCTCACTAAACTAGTTAGCCACAGCAGCATAGCACACAACATCAGTGTGAATGCACTCTGTTACTTCCGATTGCTGCTTCCTTGTAAGATCTTGCTGATCCTCAAATTAACTCATGTAATCCTAGGACATTTTAATATGTAATGGAACAGAGATATCCCAACATCCTCTGAATGCTGTCTGCTTTCCTTAATATTAAAGATATACAGAGAAAAGGTGGTGATGGCAATAAAGGTGGGAAAACAAGGTAACAGACTTATGTCTGGTACAATTAATATTGTGTGATAAAGGTTGACTTACTACCTGCAAATCCAATGTTTCATAGGTTTAGTTTCTCACTAAACTAGTTAGCCACAGCAGCATAGCACACAACAATTTTAAGAAAAAAAAAAAAAAAAAAAAAAAAAAAAAAACCCAACAAAACAAACAGAGGGAAAAATAAAAATACTGCATAACTTAAATGAATGATTGTTAGAATCCAAGATACAACCCATTGACTTCATGAGCTTATTGACTTCCAAAGGCTACAGGAGAGCTTCCTAATGATACCCATTCCTTTTTTCAAAAAGGTACAAACCCCCCAATTTGGCTGAAGTTCTGACTCAAGCCCTATTAAATCACCAGGACTTTGCATCAATTTTAAAAGCAGGTCAGTGTGAATGCACTCTGTTACTTCCGATTGCTGCTTCCTTGTAAGATCTTGCTGATCCTCAAATTAACTCATGTAATCCTAGGACATTTTAATACCTAATGGAACAGAGATATCCCAACATCCTCTGAATGCTGTCTGCTTTCCTTAATATTAAAGATATACAGAGAAAAGGTGGTGATGGCAATAAAGGTGGGAAAACAAGGTAACAGACTTATGTCTGGTACAATTAATATTGTGTGATAAAGGTTGACTTACTACCTGCAAATCCCATGTTTTGTAGGTTTAATTTCTCACTAACCTAGTTAGCCACAGCAGCATAGCACACAACAATTTTAAGAACTAATGACAGAGTCATTTTCTACCTTCTCCCACCAATTAGCTCACTCAAACAAACCAAAATTAAAGGTCGATGACACCCAGCTCACATAAGCAGAGACCCCCAGTCTATTCCCTGGTCGATGGAATGGCTGGTGACACATGAATGCCTTCTCCTTGAGTAGTTCTTCCCTTTTTCAGTCAGAAAACATCTAACAGCAATATTTAAGAAAAGTGTAGCAAATGAGGATGTACTTGAAATCTCACTCTCCACCTGGGTCCTCTCACATAGCAAATACTCAAGTGACCTCAATCCAGGGCTTTTCCCCCAAGGTTGGTAATACCATTTTAGTTTAATTGCAACCAATCTTTTGGTTGTGATCAGGACTAAATGCATTTCTATTTTGTTGGTTTGGTTTTTGATTATAAAATTTAACATGCCATCCTACACTTTAATTAAACTGTCTGCTGTCATGTAAAGTGAAGCTGTTTCCAGAACCTTAGTTAGACACCATATTGCACTTAAGTGCAATGCCAGGATTGTACTTAGAATGAATTAATATGTTAGAAAATTATAAAGCCAGAGACTACGTAAAAAGTAGCTTTTGATTTTTTGAATAGTTAAATCCCCATACAACTGTCTATTTGACAAAGAAACCCTTATTTCATTTTTTTTCTAATAAAGTTTACTTACTAATTACCCGCTAAGCACAGTTGTGCTTCACATTATTAGTAGGGGATAAATTATGTAGCTAATTGCCTGGCAATAAAGACCAAATCAAACATAAGCTTTATATTTAGGATTTTTGTTCTTTTCGCCACGTCCACTATTTTGAAACCGATCATCAAATATTTAGCCACAAAAGGCAATTAAGGAAATGTATTTACTGTATATCTGTATAGGAGACCCAGAAATGCTCAAATTGGCTCTTCTGCAAGGGATTGCTGTCTCTCCAGGTGGAGAGGAAGGCAAACCTTGAGGAGAACCCATGCCAATGCTCAGCACGCTCTTGGTAAGGGGGACATGGGTAGCTGTGGCTCCCTTGACACTGGAAGAAGAGAAGATGCCAAAGAGGATGCCAGCAGTACAGAGGCATGGCCAAGTTGGTTACTGCCAGTCCTAAATCACAGAATCACGTGGGGTTGGAAGCGATGCCAGCAGTACAGAGGCATGGCCAAGGATGCAAGCTGCCATCCCTAAATCACAGAATCACGTGGGGTTGGAAGGGACCTCTGGAGATCATCTAGCCCAACCCCCTGCCAAAGCAGGGCCACCCAGAGCAGGTCCCACAGGAACGTGTCCAGGTGGGGTTGGAATGTCTCCAGAGAAGGAGACTCCACCACCTCCCTGGGCAGCCTCTTCCAGGGCTCTGCCACCCTCACAGCAAAGAAGTTCCTCCTCATGTTTAGGTGGAACTTCTTATGTTCAAGTTTGTGCCCATTCCCTCTTGTCCTATCCCTGGGCACCACTGAAAAAAGACTGGCCTCATCCTCCTGACACCCTCCCTTTAAGTATTTATAAGCATTGATCAGATCTTCCCTCAGCCTTCTCCTCTCCAGACTAAAAAGACCCAAGTCCCTCAGCCCCTCCTCATCAGAGAGATGCTCCAGGCCCCTCATCATCTTTGTAGCCTCTGCTGGACCCTCTCCAGCAGTTCCCTGTCCTTCTGGAACTGGGGAGCCCAGAACTGGACCCAGTGCTCCAGATGGGGCCTCCCCAGGGCAGAGCAGAGGGGCAGGATGACCTCTCTCGACCTGCTGGTCCCACTCTTCCTGATGCCCCCCAGGATGCCATTGGCCTTCTTGGCCACAAGGGCCCATTGCTGGCTCATGGCCATTCTGTTGTCCACCAGGACTCCCAGGTCTTTCTTCTTAGAGCTGCTCCCCAGCAGGTCAGTCCCCAACCTGTCCTGGTGCAGGGGGTTATTCCTCCCCAGGTGCAGCACCCTACACTTGCCCTTGTTGAAGTTCCTCAACTTCCTCTCTGCCCAGCTCTTCACCCTGTCCAGGTCTCACTGGATGGCGGCACAGCCTTCTGGTGTGTCAGCCACCCCTCCTAGTTTTGTATCATCAGCAAACTTGATGAGTGTACATTCCATCCCTTCATCCAGGGCATTGATGTGTCAAATTTACCTCCAGGCTGAGACTTAAGAAGGTTCCCTATGTTGGGTACTTAAAAAGAAGAAAAAACCCAACGAAACACACAAAACCCCCTCCTTTGCAGCCATGACATGAAAATTGCCATGTTGAGACAGGGCAGCCACCGAGCCAGGCACTGGCAAAGAAGGGGCCTGGCTGTCCTAGTGGCTGCCATGGGGCACCCAATCCAAAAATGCATCTAATTGATTTTTGTTTGCTTGCGAAAATCCGGAAAACTCATAAGTACAACAAAAAAAATCCGAGAGAGCACACCAGCCAGGAAAGCTTACTCAGATCTAACACCATTTCTCAAAATGCTTCACTTTCCCTCCAGAAAATAAAAGGCAAGTGGCACACAGACAGGCCTCATTCCCAGGTTTCACTTTAGAAAGTATTATCATATTTTACTCACAAAAAAAAAAAATCCAGAAAAAAATCAGTTCTACCACCCTCTCAAAGAGCTTGTCTCCAAATATTCACACCGCTGAGACGCGTGCCGAAGTGCTGTGGTCCCTGAGGAAGGTGAGCATTCATCCCCACGTGCATCTCCAGCCTCAACCACCATGCCCCGGAAAACAGTGAAGAAAACAAAAGGGTGAAGGAAACACAACCCTGATGCCAAACCACAGAATATATTTTTCAGCGGAATCCTTATTAAAAAAAAAAGGTTAAGGTAGATGTGTACGCTCTTTGTGGGTTGGGCTAATTTCTAGGCTGTAGTTTTCCACCACCAAAACCAGCTCCTGAGCTCTGGGAAATAAGGAATGTACAATCTGACTATTGATGTTGGTAGAGCTGAAGAATTAACCTCCCTAGGGTAAAACTCTCGTGATCCACAGCCATTTCTGGGAAATAACCTGCTGTCCTGGGGCCAAAGCGAAGAGCCTGAAGCTCTCCCTCCCCCTCAACCCAAAAAGAAAGGGCCAGGTCTCTCGTAAAGAGGCGCGGAGCTGAGATTGTTGGTGTATTAATGCCCCACATCCCCAGCTTCGGCAACCCACCCTTTGAAGATGGGAGCTATTTAACATTCTCCCAGTTTAAAATATGAGCAATCAAAAGGCGCTAGGGCCTTCCACGCTGTGCTTTCCCATTTCCCACTACTTCTCTTGCCTGACAAGGTATTCTTCAAATTGAAAAGAGGGCTCCTGAAAGCCCGGCTTCGGAAAACTGTAAATGAGTTTCAGGCTTCAGCCCACTGAATTGCAATTTCATACTCCTGACTGAATACAAATAATGCATTTTATTTTGTATCAATTACCACGCCTGAGAACAGACGACCACTGCTAGCGCTATTAAATATATTTAAAAAAAAAAAAAAGAAA